AGATGACCAAAATAAAATCATTTTCGATTACCTGGGGCGCTCGCCCTTTCGAAAACAGAAAAGAAGAAAGGAGGAGAAAAAAGAGGGAAAAAAGGAAAAAAGCTGGATCTTTTCATTCGCCAAGCCCCCCCCCGCCCCCCACCGGTGGCCCACCCATCTTTGACTGCCGCCGTTGTGACAGGGGGCAACATGCAATCCCTTCATTGCGAGGTAGCTATGCTTGCAGGGGTCCACTCTATATAGCCTTAGGAGCAGTGGTAGGTAGGTAGTGAAAGGTGAAAAAGAATTAGGGCGTCGATAGACACTCCTTGGGGACGTGATTCCAAGGATATTGTCGTGACTCCAAGGATATTGTCATCGTTCCACCTGTCCTCGGAGCCGATTTGCGAAAAGAAAATGTGAAAACACTCCGAGGACAAATCCGAACACTCCGAGGACAAATCCGAGGATTTCCCAGGCAAATTGTCCTTGGCTCCAAGGGACCTTGCGAGGTACTTTGGAGCCCAAGGATCTGCGATTCACCGGGTGTTGGCGTCGAACGTAGAAGGAAAATTGGAGACCGAATGTGGTCCAGTCGTCATCCAGGGGCCGGGTGACAGACATTGTCCGCCTCCAACGTCATGGACGTCCTCCAACAGCCTCGTCCGTCTACCGTTGGCTTTGGATGGCGGCGGGGCGCGTCGTCGTTTCCAGCCGCCTCGTTTGGGGTCCGTGGCATTCCTGTGGGGTCTCCAACGGTCGTTAATTTTGAGTTTGTGGTCTGCAGTGGCAGGCGCTATGTGGACTGCCATGTGTCGTCATTGTGTGCACAAGATGCGTGCCCACGCTATCCTCTCTTGTGTCGTTCATGGCTGACCTGCCCCGCAGGCTGCCGCTGCACTGCTCATCGCCATGCTGCTTTTCTGGTGGTTGTCGTGCTCCACTTGTGTTTCCTGGGGCGACTTCCTGAGAGGAACCAGACGAGGCTGTCGGCGAACAAGGGGAGCAGGATGGACAAACGGCTGACGAACAGTACACCACCTGCAGGGGTGGGGAGCTCATCACATCACCGAAGTGTTCCCATGGAAGCACGCAGGCCCCCGTCTCGTCATCGCACACCCGCAGATCTTTGCACGTCCCACACATTGTCCATTTCATCCACCATCTTGGCGTCGCTCAATGGAGCACACCGGAGCCCAGTGCAGCGCACAGTTGAATGACAGCCTCCGAAGTTGCCACACAGTCTGGGGCGTTGACCACTCGTTGTATCTGCATCCTTTGCCTGCACCTCGATAGATTTGCCTTCATGCGGCTGGATGCTCTGTTGTCAGGCTTCGCCTTCATGCGGCTGGATGCTCTGTCTACCTGACAACGGCCAACAACGGCCAGCACCGCTGCCACCACCGCCGTCATCTCAATGGACGTCAACACCGCACGCCCATCTCCCCCACCACCCTCCACTGCCCACGGACTTCTGAGACTGCCCCTTCTTATCCCTATGAAAGAAGCGACTGAGGCATCAGCAGATCTTCTGAGCTCTCTCGTCTTCTAGATATTTTAGTCTCATTAGCTCTCTCGTCTTCTAGATATTTTAGTTTCATTTGTTTGCCACTCCACGCAGCCTGCAAAACAGGAGGAGGCTGAATTCTTGACAACGTGCAGAAACGGGAGGGGGAGGGGGGGGTGGGGGGGAGGTTGTGCGGGGGGGACCGACCTGCGTGCACGTGGTTCAATACATGAATGAAGATGGAAAAACCGTCAACAGCATCGCACAAGCCTTCAAACCACTGGGGGTTTATGAAAATTGCAATGAGGGACAGCAGCTGAAATGACCCCCTTTTTGTTTTCAAACGTTGAACAAGTTTTGAGGAGTCTCGTTCAGACATAGAAGCACTGGCAGCCCAGAGCTAACCCACCATGGCAACTCCCTTGACTTCTCCCTCAGGCTCTTCTTTTCTTACCCCCTCCCCCACCACCCCCCACCCACACACACACATCTCTATCTCTCACTCTCTCCCCACTGGTGTCTCCAATGCAATATAGTGTGTTGGTCTCTCTCGCTCTCTCTCTCTCTCTCTCTCTCTCTCTCTCTCACACACACACACACACACACACACACACACACACACACACACACACATCTCTCTCTCTCTCCCCAGTGGTGTCTNCATATCGAATAAAAGTCTGTTCAACGTGTATAGGTCAACCCTAACAATGATGGGAAAAAACTCAAAATGAATCTCTCTCTCTCTCTCTCTCTCCCCGCGTGTGCCGAATAGGGAGTCTACCTTTAGTGGGGACTGTGACTCTCTCTCTCTCTCTCTCTCTCTCTCTCTCTCTCTCTCTCTCTCTCTCTCTCTCTCTCTCTCTCTCTCTCTCTCTCCCCGCGTGTGTCTCAAATCTGGTCATCCTAACGGTCAGATGCGTAAGCTCTGAGCAGAATCCCAGCGCGCGCAGAGAGGCAAAGAGAAACGCGAGGACATTTCCAGCTCCCACCTCGTCAGGGCCATGAACAACGACAAACCCAACAATCGAGAACAAGAACACAATTCTCTCGCCTAACACGGCGGGCAACAGACCAAAGAAGCTTCTTCGTCTCAGGGGTCGCAGAAGCTGCCAGAAGAGAATGCCGCTAATGGTCGACGCAGGCCATGCACCTAAGTCTTGGTTCGCCTTCAAAAAGAGTCGCGGCGATGCAGTCACCACCTCGACCATCCCACACGCCACGTCAGCAGCCAGCATCAATATATGCCCCGAAAAAGCTCCCGTATCAAAGCCAGGGGTCGCCCCCTTCTAGATTTCCATTACAGGGTATAAAATAGGCACCCTCCATACCCCACCCGTCCACCATCCTCACTTCCTCACTCGACTCCATCCTTCTCAGGCCAATCGGGACTGTTCCCAAGATGCTCTCCACAAAGCAACTTGCCTGGCGCGGGCGGAGACAGAGGGAGGTGGTTTCTCCTCCCTTGCGCAGCCTCCTTCCCAACCGCCCCCGTGCGCCCCGATCCCCCCCCAGCACTTCCGCGTCCCCACCCCCCGCAGCAAATTTTGGCAGGCAAGGTTAACGCATGTTGAGCTTGCGGAGCGATACTCCGCTGCACAAGCTTGCTTGCTAAGTTGCTACTGTACTTGATATTTGATGTGTTGCCTTGGGCACTGGGGCCGATTGAATTTTTTTATTAAAAAAAAGAGGAGAAGAAGAAGAAGAACAGAAGAGAAATGACGACGAAGAGAAAAAGGAACCTGAGAAAGTTGATACTCCTCACAATAGGCTCAACGTGAGGCTGATTGAAATTCAAGAAGGAAAAAAAAAAGAGGAGAAGAAGAAGAACAGAAGAGAAATGACAACAAAGAAAAAAAGGGCACCTGAGAACGTTGATATTCTCACAATAGGCTCAACGTGAAGGAAATCGCCCTCCTTGTTCCGCATATTACAGAAAATTTACTGTATAATATATTGTTGCGGAGCTACAAACTAAAGAGTGCCCGTGCGACGGAGAGAGAGAGAGAGAGAGAGAGAGAGAGAGAGAGACGAACAGAGAGAAAGCACATGCAACCTTTTTCTTTTACTCTTTCATTTTTCCTTCTACACAGCTACAAGCTACCCGTAGTAGCGCCTTTGCAAGAGAGAGAGAGAGAGAGAGAGAGAGAGAGAGAGAGAGAGAGAGAGAGAGAGAGAGAGGGGGGGGGGGGGGGGGGGGG